AGGGGGTGTGTTGGAATCCTCATTTCACCTGCAGCATCCAGCCCTGGGGGTGGTGGTGATGCTAAACTCTTGGTGGTTTGAGGACATCCTTCAGCAGAGCCACCCCCTCCCCAAGAGCCGTGTGCCCCAAAAGCCACCGCCGCCGTCTACCGCCGGGCTGAGAACGTGCAAAACTCAGGGCCGGGATGTCACAGCACCCGCTCGCCATTTCTCAAAGCCTTTCAGATGATGTGCTCGCGTGTGATGATGGCAAAATTGGCCCTCGGGTGGGGCGGGTTTGCGCGCCTGCTCTTTCCCCCCCAAAAACGCATTTAACACAGTTTTTTATTTATTTAGGGATTATTAATTTTTTAATGTTTCAAATATTTTGAGTAAATAAGGCTTTAAGGGAAAGTATAATGTGGTTGTTTAAAAGCACTCTTAAGGATTTTTCCCCAGGAGATCCTAAGAGAGTTGTGTTCTTGATCAGTGAGCTTCCCTTTACAAGGAGACTAATAAATAACTGTTGGACTATCACTGTTTGCTGACAAACTCCCCTAATATACAAGAGCTGTCCAGATACTCACCACTTGTGAGGGACAGTTTGTATACAATCTGTCATTTTTCTGTCTGTGTAGATACGGAGGTTTTGGGGAAAGGTACAACACAGAACAGGCACCAGTATTCGCTGCCCTCAATCTAGTCTTCCTTTCACAAATTAAAAGTGAAAATTTGATGCTTATATTGCCCTTAGTCAATGGCATGATTTGATTTAATAACTTTCAGGTGTTTTAAGATAAGTCCTTATTATTACAACTCAAAAGTGAGAAAATGCAGCTTTTTTTCTCAATAGCATTGTCCTCAATGTTAGTATGAATATTTTCTTTTTCCTCTTGGGCATGTAAATTAATCATACTTAACACATTTGGCACAGAGAAAAAAAAAAAGAGAAAAGCTAGTGAAAGATCTGTCTTACCTGTAGTTTGCTGGCATTTGAGAAGAATAACTTGGTAATTAGTTTATTAGTTTAGATTTTAAGATTACATAATCTCATTTCTTGTATAAATATAAACAAGTTATGTTATTCTTCAATGTAACGTATTAGCAGCTTATTTTAAAATCGCAATTAGAACAACTTACCCAATTAACAAAAGCAGCTAGCTTCAGGTGGAATGCCTTGGTATTTGTGCTAAGTTTTTTGAAGAGAACTGATGCGAGCAGCAGTTCCTTTAGGAATTTGATGCAGCTTTGAAAGTTTGCTGGTTCCTTTTGATATTTTAATGACAAACCTCTAGAGTTTGAAAACTGGTGGTGACCAAAATTGTAAAACGAAGTAGATTTTTACTTATGTATTTATTTTGCCTTCTTTATATTCTTTATTTTTCAGTGCTGGTGCCTGCCATCTGATAAACTTCTGCTCACATATCAGCTCACAGGCCATTCTTTTCCATTTTATCTTGTTTGGGAGAATTATTGCCAGATACAGAAAATGATTCTTGAAACTTCCTTGGAGTTTAAGTGTAAGCATTAATTACCAAATTCTTTCAAATTACCTGTAAGCAAACTTTCATAACTGACTTTGTAAGGTCTAAATTGTAGCTAGATTTACAAGGCAGTTAACTGTCAGGACACTAACTCCTGTTAAAATACTTGCTTTTGTGATTTTTGTTTGAGGTTTTAAAATAGTGAACTGATTTCAATCTCTGGAGTTGTTTTGAAAGGACAAACCAACCTTTCTCAGTTTCATTTTACAGCTTATACTTTTGTTAATTTTTCCTTGCAAAACTGTTCTGAAAATCTTTGTTCGTGAATTAAATCTACAGAAGGCGGATATGTGCTTTTTAATTTGGTTATATCTCTGCAGTACTTATGTACTCACATTTTTTTCCTTTCTTGCCTTACTGCTTGTATGCAGCATCATATATGCTGTACAACATATATATTGCAGTTCTTTTCCATTCAGTTATTTCACCTCTCGTCTCAGTATTTCTTCCTCTGGCATAGTCAGACTTTCTTGGTCACTATCTCCTTCAAGATTTTCTCTTTTCAAGGTGTAAGAATTATTAAGAGAGAATATTAATCCTCAGGGGATAAAAGAAATAGGTTAAAAAGAAGAAGAGAGGAAGTATTACAAGAAAGCACAATTGAACCATCTGGCCTTGATTAACAAATGTAGTTCTGTCTCAGAGAAACGGGAAGTAAGTAAATTTCACACTGGTAGGTTGGGGAGCTTCCCTCAGAGAAACTCAGTGTACGTTAAATTGTTCAATTTCATTTCAAAGATTTGGATGGGAAGCGCATACTTTAACTAGAAGGAATAGGATACCTGTTGTAAATCACCAATGTATACAGAGGGAAATTTTTCATTCTTTTTCAAAATACTTTGTTGAAGTATGAAGCTGAAGTTAATATAAACAGTATAGCAAAGAAGGACAGGTATTGGATAGTAAGTACAGAAGAGATTTTGTAAGAAAAGAAGGAATCTTATGAAGTCATAAAAAATAGCACGTGTTATGAGAAAGAATAACTTATGTAAAAAACCCATCACGAACACCACCACCCCACCACCCCCCCCCAAAAAAAAAACCCCAACCCCATGTGTGGGGATAAACGGTCAACGCACCGGCAAAAAAACCCAACAACTTAACTCCAAAACCCAAAAGAAATTATGCTGCCGGATAATTTAGCGGTGGGTCTGTGGGGAG